GGGTGGCAAGGGTGGTCTAGTGGTTAAGCTACTGGCCTCTCACCGCTGTGGTCCGGGTTCGATTCCTGGGCACGGACCATATGTGAGTTTGAGTTTGTTTGATGTGTTGTTCTCTCCCTTGCCACGAGGGTTTTTCTCCGGGTCCTCCGGTTTTCCTCCCTCAGTAAAAATCAACATGTGAGGAGTGTTGTGTGCTAAAATAATTAATGTAGAGGTAGTGAGTGTGAGTGTGAGGGCCACAAGTTCATCAGTTCTTTACTGTCACGTGTTACCCTCGTAAAATAAAGTCGATTTATTTATTTATTTACTTTAATGTCAAAACCTAAACCTCATATGTAAATAGATTGAAAGATAAAGTTATCGATTACATGCTTTCACGCACAAAGTCTCTAGATATTAACTCTATTAACAGCTTTGTTAAGTTTTTTTTTTATGCAAGTCAAACACTTTATTAAAGACATCATTTATAAAAAAGATGAGTCAAAGTAGATAGAAATTTCAAACAATCCGTACAGAAAGAGTAATAAACAAAACATTCAAGAGCCCATATTTTTCAGTGTAATTATGAAGTATTAAACGGAATTCAATGCTACTCCGTGAGTAATTGAAAATAACAATAATTGTGGTACGGTCTATCATGTTGAGTGTTCAGTTTTCGATAAGTAGACTATTTTCATACTCGATTACAGTCTCCTTTTTTAATTTTTGATTTTTGATTGTATRCGATTGTCTATACAATTTTTTATGCCGCGTATATTCCAAGAGTCAGGAAGTCAGGCTTTTGACAGTATATTTTCCTCTTCTAGCTATCATCATCAGATTTTTCAAGTGCTTTTCCATTATTGCAAATACGAAGAAAATCATGGACACCAAGACAGCACCAGGAGCCATCACCTCCATTAATGGAATGAGAGTACTGAGTATCTCATGGGTTGTGCTTGGTCATGCCTACCTCATTTTTGTAGATCTTTTCGTTGCAAGTAAGTTGCCGAGATTATACGTAGCCATCTGTTTGTCTACTCAGGGTTCTAGAGTCATTTTCATCCGCCTGTGAAATAGGAATTGTACTATTAAATACTATTACCCCCTATTAGTTCCCAATAGTTTAATTTGTGACATGCGACAAACTAATTAGGCAAACACGGTTTTGATTTTGCATTTTGATATTTTTCTATTAAACACTGACTAGTAGTAACTGTTTCACAGACGGATGAAAACTTTGATTTAAGACAAGAGAGAAACTTCACTCAGTGATATAGCCCAGTTTCGATATTCGATTTGACCAGACACGTACAAAAGACCTATTCAAAACAAAAAAAAAAAAAAAAAAAAAAAAACAAAAAGAAAACAACAACAACAAGAGTTTAAGTGCGATCACTTTTATTACCGTCTAAGTAGTACTAATTTGTACCAAAAGTGGACCTGAAGCGAGACGGTAGTCATTTTCATCCGTCTGGGAAACAATTACTAATAGTTAGTGTTTAATAGTAACTATTAGTAACTATTTATTAGTAACTATTTATCTTCTTTACACAACTGTTTCTTTAGAARCACCGACGCAGCTCACACTAGTTTACCGCTAGTTCCCACCATTTAACTATTAGGGTGTAGAGTACAAACACTAAAACTGTGCAACATTAATACCACTAAATACTGCTAAATTATGCTAATTCTATTGTTTTCTATTGTTTAATTAACACTATTTTGTAGTAAATAGTGGAAAGTGTTGCACACATTTAATGTTTGTACTCTAGTAGGCTACCAAAAGGCAAAATCAAAACCGTGTTTGCCTAATTAATTTGTCGCATGTCATAAGTTAAACTATTGGGAGCTAATAGGGGGTAATAGTATTTAATGAGTACAATTCCTATTTCACAGACAAATGAAAATGACTCTATTGGATGCTTCATTTGTAAAAATTCAATTTAATTTGCGTTTCGCATACACGATTTTCTAAATACACCTAAGTAACACTATTTAGTTTGTACAGTTGGCTGCATGGATTGGGTAATACTATTTGGTATAGGTTTATGACAAATTCTTTTATTTTCTTTTGTTCAACTATCACTATTTTCACAATTTAGTAATTAGTGTTTCACGCTTAGAGTGCTTTCAGTAAAAGCATTCAATGTTTCGTCTTAAGATTAACACGTTTCACGTTTTATCTGTATTCCAGACAATTTTCGGACAACTTCAAAGATCATCCACAGGTTTTCTTTCCAAGCCATTGAAAATGCTACCCTTTCAGTGGACAGCTTCTTCTTCTTAAGGTAACTGCTCACTGGTAAAAAACCTAATTGATAGGCAAATTAATTTGTACAATTTTGCGTATTTCCCTCAACGGACGAAGCGTCTATGCGATCACTACCGTCAGAACGCTTGTGATTGATGGAGACAACAAAAACAAAGAATTTACATGCTAGACCTGTCCTTAAGGAGTCATCACTGGACCATGAGATGTTTTAAAAGAACTATCGGCCCATCTCAAATTTACCATTTATCGCTAAATGCTGCGAAAAAGTTTGTTGCTCATCAATTTAATCATTACTCTGCGAACAGAGCTACTTTTCTCACCCGCCGAGAAGCGGTCCCTGTTCGGTGATCCGGCCTATCCTCTATTTGCTTTATCTCCAATTGGATAGTACATAATGTGTCGTCATGGTGTGTCGCATCATCTCTATGCTGATGACACGCAAATCTATGTCATCTATATCTCATTCAAGTCAAACGTTAAGGGTGACCTGCAGAAGGCATGCACGAGAATGGAAGCATGCCTTGCTGACATTGACCACTGCGGGATGTTGTTTAATAACTCTTAAGCTGAACCAAGATAAATCTGAACTGCTGGTTCTTCATGCTAAACATCGTCCAGCTCCATTGTTGGAATCTGTTCAAGTTGGTGACTCTAGCATTGTTCCGTCTGACTTTGCTCGTACCATTGGAGTCGGTTTTTGATAAAGCTTTAGATGAACATGTAACTGAGTTGTTACAACTCTTGTAGAGAATTGTAACTCACTTACAGCGTGTACAGAACTGTGCTGCTACATTAGTCATGCTTTCACGTAAATGCGAGTCCATATAACACCTTTACCTATTGACTTGCATTGGTTGCCTGTGGAGCAACGTATTATCTTTAAGATGAGGGTCTCAATGGGGTGGTACGCATCACGACTCACGGCTAGAAATTTGGCGATTTCACGACTCACGACTATTTTTTTCGAATCACGTTTAACTAGATTACTTTTAGAAATTTTTGAATTACGTTTTTCATTGCTTTTTCTTTTTTCGTATGAATAGACTGCGTGACTTATTCGTACRGACATGGATTTTTCTATTTCAAAKAAGYCGAARTGCGACTATTTCCAGGAAAAAATGATTAATCATAAATTCATAATACACAAAAAAATCCAAAAAGTGTTAAACATAACAGGTATTGAGAACATAGTAGTGATATTGCTGAAGTAATTACTAAATGATTCTGCAGATTTTGTAATTAAACATTAATGCATAGGAAGCTAATTCAAAGACAACAACAAAAAGCAAAAAAAAAAAAAGAAATATGAAAAAAGAAAAAACTTGATTATTGGGATTCGAACCCATGACCATAAAATCGAAAAAAGGTTGGGACGATTCCCCCGAGACATTCTGTGAAGCTGAGGCGGCGAATCGATTTACATTCCGGTTAGAGATTTCGGCTCTTCCATGCTATCCCGATAATTGGTCCTAACTTCGCGCTAACTAAAAAGCCAGTGAGGGAGAAGCTATCCGGCCCCTAGACACTGATGGATAACCCCTTGCACTAACTAGGCAACTATCGAAAGCATAATCTCAAATTGGGGTAGTCTATTCGGTGAAAGTGGTCTATTATTATGTAAATGAAAGTGATCCAGTGGCGCACCGCGTTAAGTCGCCGCTTGCAAATCCAATGTAGGTTTGACGGTAGCGGGATCGATTCCCTGGAGGAGACGTTTAATGATTTTGTTTTTTCCTTTTTATTTAATTTATTGTTTATCTTTTTTTTTTATTTTTTTTATTTTTGCATAATTATTGTCATCTCTTGTGTTTCACTTTCCCGAGAACCGTCTTTTTTTTACTAAGTGGATATATGATCGGCTCCCGTTCAAAGTCTTCGATGTACTAACATACTAAATGAGTGCTAGTTTTGTTTTGGCAAAAAAATCTTTTATATCTTTATTAGCAATCTAAAAAAAAGATGTCGATTCATATTTTACCGTTCTATTTCGAGCAGCTTTAGCTTCTTGTCGCACTTAGCGTGACGAAGGCTCCCGCTCAATTAAGGTCTTCGATGCACTAAATGAGCGGAAGTTTTAAAATGTACAAACAAATCCCAAAAATACTATCTAAGAATTAAAAAATATTTTATAACTTTATTAGCAATCTAAAAAAAGATGTCAATTCAATTTTGTAACGTTCTATTTCGAGCAGCTTTAGTTTCTTGCCACACTTAGCGTGACGCAGGCTCCCGCTCAATTAAGGTCTTCGATGCACTAAATGAGCTACTCTGCGAATAGAGCATTTACAAAAAAATTTACAAAAAAAAAATTACAAGCGCGCGCCTGCATCGGAGTTGACTGTCCTTCTKAGGGACAAAACTGAATCACGGCTCACGCTGTAGAAAAATATTCACGCCTCACGGCTAATTTTTTCGCATTTTCACGACTAACGGCTAATTTTTCAGCCGTTTCACGGCTCACGGTTAACTCCATTGAGACCCTCCGCCATGCTTTATGATTTCATGTTGTTGTTTTTTATATATATTGATTTTTTCCCCTAATGTCAGCGGTCTTCTGGTAAGCTACATTGGACTTAGACGAATGAAAAAGAACAATGGAAGACTTCCCCTACTTCAGTTCTATTTACATCGATATTTGAGGTACAAAGTTTTAAAACTACCTTTGGATATCCCTGTCCTGCCCTACCTTGTCCTGCCCTGCCCTGCACTAAATAAATTGTACAAGCTTGAAGCTGTAAATAATAATCTGCAAATGTTCATTTTTATTACGCTCTTAGAAAATGCAAGCAACTCAGTGTTTTACCAATGTTGTTCATGCCCGTACGTGCGTCGAAAGAGTTCATTTCAATTCATCTTCTCCACTCGGCTTAGTAGCCATTTTAGCCAGTTTGTATATCGATAATTTTCGGAAATAGCGTCCTCTAGAACTGTAAAGCTTCATAAAAGTAGATTCGAGCTTCTGTTTTTGGACTGATCTGTGTATCTTTGACTGCCTTTTCTGTACTCCGCATAAAGTCAAAATCGCAAAATAACCATAACTACGCGCATCTCCGCTGCAATTATGCAGAGCCCGTTCACGGTCGTCTGCAAAATAAGATTAAAACTTACTGAAAACTTCACAAATTAGTCTCGATTAACAACAGCACGCATCAAAAATCTTCAAAAGACATTTCATATCAAAAAGGACATCTATCTTTTCATAAATAACGATAAATTACTTCTCTGGCCAAAAACAAAAAAAGCAACAAACAAACAAGCAAGCAAAATCAAAACAACGACAACAAACAAACAAACCCTTCGCAAATCCTTATGGACGACATTTTATCACGTGATTATATTGTCAGTCACTGGCAATGAACTGACCTGTTTGTTGGCTTTGCATGCAATCATGATATTTGTGTAATTCAGTTATTATATATTTTTAGGTTAACTCCAACCTACATGTTTTGTATACTGTTTTTCACAAGCCTGTTCAAACATGTTGGTGAGGGACCATTGTGGGACATTACTCAACTGACTAACAAATGCAACACCAAATGGTGGACAAATTTGCTATACATAAACAATTTCTATCCTGAAGAATTTCTTGATGAGGTAAAAATTGGGACTTGTGTTATTGTATTCGTTATTTCCCTTGTTATTGGGGTTGTGGGGGTTATTGGGGTTGTGGGGGTTGTTGGGGGTTGGGGAGGTTGGGTGAGGTTCCTGGGGTGAGGAGATTGGAAAGACAAAGAAAGTCGTTCGCTTCAAGTTGAACGAGTGTTGTTTTGTATTAACACTCGTTCAGGCCGAAGGAGAGTGTATTAGGGGACTGGAACCCTTTGACAACCCCTTGAACCTCTACTTGTTGTAGTTCTTTTGTTTTGTTGTCGCCGGGGCTATTATGTTATGCTCTATATTGTTTATTTTGCTTTATGGTTGTTTTTCTTCTTCTTATGTTATTGTGTCGTCGTCGTTCTTCTTCTCTTGTTAGTTTACTGTTCTTATGTCATCGTTCCAACGTCGTTCTCGTTGTAATTGCTCTTGTTCTTGTGTTGTTGTCTTTAATTATCTGTTTGTTCTCCCTATTCTCTTTGTTTCTCTTTTGTTGATCTTGTCTTTCTTGTCAATATTCTTATAATTCTTCTTTCTTTCTTTATTTTGTGTTATAGTGTATGAGGTGGTCCTGGTATTTAGCCAATGACTTCCAGTTTTATTGCATTGCACCATTGTTTTTGTACGCCATGTACAGGTAAGGAATGCATGCACAGCAATTCTCATACTCATTAATTATTCATGAGGTATTCAGCCAATCCATGATTATAATTTGTACCACGTGAAGTAACTTGAAACCAGAGGAAGTACTCGTACCTTTGTATTCTACCTTATTTCCAGTTACTTCTACCATGTTTCCAACTACTRCTARCTAATKMTAATCAAATTATTAGAAATAATCAGTTTAACATTAATTTAGTGAAAAAAGGTCTTTGATAAATGACTCGATCCCCTACCGTCCAGTCTATATGCGCCATCTTATACCATTACACCACCGAGTTTCTGACGCGATTTCTCGGAAGATAACATACTTATAAATCTTATGGATTAGGCTCATTAGGAATGCCATGAATAGCAGACAAAGACAATTTGAATAGTTTTTGTTTCAGAAAGCCGTCCGGGAATTGAAGAACAACAAACGGTGCTTCATGTATTCAAATTTATGAAAACTGAAAAACGCCTCGGACTAGAACTAATTGCGCGGACTTGAAATCCCGTCTCAGTCCTCATTGTCGGACTTTAAACATTACTTATAACCATGAAACATAACTTTGCATCAGATATCAAAAAAATGATAGCTCAACTCCAATCATGTTTACTGCTTGTTTATATCACTCGTGCCTTTGCGAGGAAACGAGAGCGCTGATGAGCTTGTAATAGGTACATTTTATATCATTTCTGTACGGAACTGAGGACTAGCGTCTAATGGTCGCAATAGTCTCCCAAAATGAGGTTTGCATTATTATAATTTCTTGAAGAGAAAATTAGAAACAATCTTTTGCAAAGTCCTTGAGCACTGACTTCTTATTGGTAGCACCTAGTCACCTGGGATTATATGGCTCTTTCAGGTTCAAGCTCCCAGGAATGGCCCTAACAGTTGGTAGTTTCCTGGTGGCGAGTTTCATAGCTACTGGAGCCATTGTAGGCTATTATCATTTCGTGGCAAATCCCATGGGTACCTCCCCGTAAGTATATTATAAGGCTCAATCATTATGTTATATCCCTATAGTTTGACTAAACTTTCGAGTCTTTGTTCCGACGGTTGGTGGAGAAACAAAAACCTTTCAACTTGTATAATTGTCGCGCAACATCGACCATTGCTGATTGCGCGATGAAACACATTGTTGGTCAAACCTGTTTTGCAAAGTAGGTCGTGGTTGAACTTTCTCTATAGATTCGATCTTTGTGTGTTGGTTTTTGATATTAGTCCAGAACTGGATCCACTTTTCTCAATGAAAGTTAAATAAATACTTAAGACGCGGTCTCTGCAATAAAAATAAGAGTTTATTATCAAAACAATGGGGTGAATCACTCACTTAGCAGATACTTTTTTTAATAATTGCTGAGAATAATTCAATTGCAACTGAATTTAGTGAGAAAAGAGACCAAGAAACGGAGATAGACAATGTTCAAAACCGCGGGAAGATTTTAGCTAATTTTATACCTTAGACGCGTTTTCACAACAAAGCGATCTAGATACTTTTTTTCACCAAGGATCCAACAAAAATTATTCAAATGAAAGCAATAATTCAAAGCAAATATTCCCAAAACCCCCCCTCCTCCCATCCATTTATTGCCATTTGCTCCTATAACTCGTGAATTATGAAAAATAGAGACAATAAGATTTTATTTGATACTGGTTTTTTTAATTTATAAGTCCCTTCTGATCAGGTTTCAGCTTATTGACTAATGTAAAAAGGCAACCGAAATTTTATTTATAATATGTTAATCTTTCTCGATTAATCTGATATTATATACGCTTTGGTAAAGAAAAAGCTATACGGTACCTTCACTACTCCTATTTTATTCACTCCGCCGAAAACTGGCATGGGGAAACTGCTGCATGCGCTGAAAAATTCTCCTTGACCCTCTTTAAATCCTGCCCATTTACTTTGTTGATTCGATTTGGATAATTTTCAGTTACTCGCGAGAAAGGATACGTTTTCCATCGCAGGACCGTTTGGAAGAACATTTTATTCTATCTAATCAGCGCGAAAGAACGCGTATCATTTGTGCACGGTATAATAAATGCTCCTTATTATAGTCATTCAACGAACTACGTCTACATCAAGCCTTATTGCCGCATATCACCTTACCTCGTTGGTATTGTACTTGGTTATGTCTTCGTTGCTGACAAAACGCATTCATTCCTGCTAAAACTTCGAACTGTAAGTTGAACGTTCCTCTCATTGTATTCCCTGTAGAAAGCTGGGAGTAGCATGGATAAACCTATTCTTTTGAAATGTGACGTAGGCAAGGGATGAACATCTGTCGTTATGACTGCATTCATGACTTTCCATACTCTCAGTTTCATTGATCACGAGCAAAGCATTGAACCAAGACGTCAAGGTACACTGAAAACATATCTTTTCTTTTATGCCCAGTGTACCTTTACCACCTTTGTTCAAAAATTTGCTCATTATCAAAAAACCCGAGTATGGAATATCGCGAATGTTGAATTGACGAAGTGCATCATGGTACTAATAAACGTGTCTACATGGTGGATGTTGAATAAAAACTACCGAGGGAAAGAGGAAAATATTTAAATTAACTTAAAACTTTTAAATTGATGACGTAGGTAGTCAAAGCAATGGTGCTCAAATAACATCAAACTACACGAATTTAGTTTTTACTTTAATAAAAATCATGTCGCATCTTACTGAAAATCACATAACGACATAGAAGAACTATGACCGACGTATACCTCTGACCCGGGCTATTAATGATGTGCTTACGGCAATCGTAAATGAAAACTAAAGTTTACGATTTGATATACTAGTTTTTACTTCCGATTCCAGATCCCGCGAATGATATTCCTGGTAATTGGCTGGTCCATTGCCTTTACCTGTGCTTTCTCGTCTTTATATGGATTGTACAAAAAATACAGAGCTGACAATCCAATACCATTGACAGATACCGAGAATGTTGTGTATGTGACATTTTCCAGATTCGCTTGGGCCCTCTCCCTTGCATGGGTTATTTACGTGTGTCATGCTGGATTTGGGGGTGAGTTATAGTGGGATTGTTGGAATATTTGCCAGGAATCACACCTTTCGTTAGGTTGATGTTCTATATAAGCTTGAAGAATAGAGTGTATTGTTGAAACCCGCTATAGTTCGCTTTGAGAAGACTCCCTTTTTGAGTTTCTTCCAAACGAGGTCGGTCAAGCGTATTCCTAATTTGTTGCTGTCTTGAAGTCTTTTTATTGACTGCATGCATGCACAGGGATTGTGAATTCAAATATTACTTATGTCTCAGTGGAAGATTATAGTGTCTTTTTTTCTATTATGCATGTTACGCCTTAGATATATATATATGCTAACATTTACGCTATTTAGCGCGCGGTCTTGATAGATTCATCTGGACAGCGGACTGGCAGTATACCGACCAACTGATCGACTAAGCTGGCTTAATAAGAGTTTATGACCCGGCGTTTTCGTTGGATAAAATGCAATTCAAAAATAATATGAAAATAATTTTCAGACAGCCTTTACCTTCTGGACTTTCTGTATCTTGGTTGTCTGAAATTTCGTCTGGGTAATGAAATTCGTCGATTTCAATAATTTTTTTGCCGCCAGAAATAGTATCAAGTTAAATTTGTGCACGTTGATTTTTTTACCTGCAAAGTTATGTTATGATCTGCACCAAAATCTCGCAAAACCGACGTCAACCAATCAGATCAGTCTATTCACTCGCGTTCAGGCTCCAATATACACGTTCATATAATAAAGGGAAATATTGATTCTAAAGAATGAGTTTCATTTCATCTCTAGGTCTGGTGGACAATATTTTATCAGCTCGATTCTGGATTCCTTTGAGTCGATTGACATACAGTGTTTACCTAGTTCATCCCATGGTCCTTGGAGCGTTTTATGGCAGCCTACAGAGTACTGTGGCATACACTGATTTCTTAATGGTGAGTTGCTGCTTGTTGAATTTTGATATTAGGGACTGTGCAATAATTACCTSCCCCCGCTAACTATTAACCTTAGTTAAGCACAAGCGGGTCGAGTCAATTGTAGCAACGTGAAATTCACTGAAGACGAACCCACAGGTGGCTTATTGAGACTTTACTCATCTGGACCTAAGTGTAAAGACAAGTTACCAGCATGCAATGTTTTTTGGCGCTGCGACCTAACCCAAACTTTTAGGAGGAGCCAACGGGGTCTGTTCTGCTAAATAACTGCTCTTGTACGATTTTTTTGCCTAGGAAAGGGATTTTTAGCTTCAGTTCTGGTTGTTATTAACGTTGCATTTGAGATAAAGAAACTAATGAAAATTTCGACGCCCCCCCTCCCTCCCTCTCTCCCCCCTCTCTGTTAAGGAGGTATAATGATACCCAAGATAACAATAATTTCAAGGAAAAGACTTAGCCATTTTATTATTTCACATTTCATTATCCTTATTGAGACAAATCATTTGATACCAATTTTAGCACTCGTTGTTGCTCTGGTAACCAAGCCACACCCAAAATACATGATTATAAGGCACTTACTGTAACAGCTTTAGCTCTGAAACTATAATTGGAATACAATCCAAACTAAGAATATTCATTGCTAGTATCACAATGTATGCAATGAATCTAAAATTGTCATATGCAGGTTTACATAAACAAAAAATAAACAAGTAAACAAAACAAAAAGGTTATAATTTTAGCCAGCGTCCTTTGATAAAAAGCCTTGATATTACTGAGCATTGTAACAAGGTTTTTGAGGTTTATTGCACTACTGCACTATCAATCATTATTCCCGTCAATTTTCATGCAATTTTTAGGCAAAATCAACTGGAAAATAACTTTGTCAATTTACCGTTCAAAATTGTAGAAGGGGTATCCTTTCTGAGCCTGAGATAGTCAGAATTATCTGTTTGTTTTCTGTTTGGAGAAATGACAAAACTATTTGCACTTTTGTACAAAAAAATGATTTTTTTTTTTCTTTCAGGTAATCTTCTTCCTCGGTTGTTTAATGGTGTCGTATGGCTTGTCGTTCATTCTCGCGATAGCGATTGAATTTCCCACCATGCAACTCGAGAAATTATTTGACTGACTTTCGACTAGTGAGCTAAAGTTGTCGCGTCAAAGGGAAATTATTCCATAGCTTTTATAGGACTGTTTACGATAACAATTTTGTCATGCGACAAGATCGGCGATTTTTATGGCGATTTTATCCATAAATCGCGCATGCTGACAATCTGCAAATTCAAGGCGATTTCATTGCGATAGGTCGTAGGTATATAGCAGTGAATTCGAACTTGCTCGAAATTTTTGTGCAAATCGCTACGATTTTCACTTGAAATTTGTATGTAAAATCAGCGTGAATATTGCAGACTGTTTACACGTGACATGAAATCACCGCAAAAATCACAGCTTATGTTGCGTGACAAACTTGCTTATGTTGCGTGACAAACTTGCTAGTGAAAACAGGCTATATATTCCACATGTTGCTTGTGACTAAAGACCATATATTGTATTGAACAGTAAATTGGCAGATATGATTTGTGCATCTTGTAGCATTTCTATTTCATTCCTTTTTTAGTTATTTTCAGTCTTTTCGATAAACATGAGCACGCCATTAATTCCGATTAGCTGCTTTACTGCTTTTTAATCTGGATCTTGACGCTGACTGCTGTGACTACTGTTACAGTTTTGTTTTTTCTCCTGGAAGATCATAGGCCGCCCAACTATCGCTTGAGTGAAAGGATGAATGCGCAAGCTTATATGTCTTTTTTGTTATAGGCGCGCGCTCTTAGCAAAACGCGGATTGCCTGTGGTGCTACGTCACGATCCCTTGCCTTGGGGGTCTACACACTTCATTCCTATTCTACGCAATAAACCACGCAACCACACTTTTTGGAGTATGACTTTGCCTTGGCGCCTGCTGGACAGACAACCCAGATTTTATTTCATTATTCTACAATCCTTCCACTTATTTATCCTTAAACAGCTGAAAAAAAAAAAAAACTATTTA